AATCGAAGCCAACTGAAACCGCAGAAAGTACTACCACCATTGGTGAATTAATTGAGCAATTAAAGGAGACTGAAGCTACAGATATTGCCGAAATACCCAAACAAGAAGACGCTTTGGTTGAGAAGGATATTACAAAACGAGAGGACGACTTAAATTTCGAAGACAATGAGACTGTGCATTCGGAGGAGAAATTGCAAAAGCACTACGACGATGATCAAGATGGTAGTATACCCATCAAAGAGGTGCTGGACTCCAATGAGCCAGAGAAAGTTACACTGCCGCTGCAGAAATTAGAGAGCGCGCTTGATACGGCCAACAAGAATGTGGGCGAGATAATGATTGCACTCGAGTCGCACATAAGCTCGGTACGAAGGGTAAGGCAATTTCACTACGTAATGTAAATTAACTAATTTACTAATTAAGTACTTTTTTTGTATTTTTATTCTTCACAAAGGCGCTAGGAGCACGTAGCCTATTCCGCAAGGAGGATATCGCACATGCCTTGAGCGCTAACTCCATCACAGGTCGCGATGCTGGTTCCAAGACTAAAATGCTGCTCTTCAATGGCCTGTACTATGCCGGTCTGTGGGCAAAGACATTTAGTCCAGTAGTCTCGGATGAGGATAGCTTCTTCTTCATGACAGCTGAAGATGCAATGAAGGCACCTATGATGCAAACGAAAGGAAAGTTTCACGTTGCTGAATTGGATTATTTGAATGCAAAAGCATTCTGCCTGCCTTATGAGGTAAATTTTAATGCAACTCTACAGCTTTTGTTCGAATTTTTAGTGAATTTAACTAATTACTAATTTTTCTAGAATAAAAAATATGCAATGATGATTGTGCTGCCGAATGAGACGGAAGGCCTACGCTCACTAATCGGTAAGCTGCAACCCGAAGATCTTAAGAAGGCCAAATCGCTTGCTAAGGAGAAAGAACTGCGTATCACAATGCCCAAGTTCCAAGTCGATGAAACTTCACGCTCCGAGGCTATGCTGAAGAGCATTGGCTTGAAAAAGCTTTTCGCACGTCAAGAATCTGATCTCAGTTTGTTCTCCGTTGACCCCGATTTGCATGTAGATGAAGTAGTGCAATTTGTTAGTGTACGCGTTAATGAGAGTGGTAGCAGCGAGAATGCTCTCACTGCCTCCAATCCACAGGGTCGCACGTCTGAAGCGTCGGAAGTGGAGTCAATCGTAGTTAATCGGCCATTCTTGTACTTCATAATGGACTGTGAGGAAGAATTTGTGATTGCTGCGGGAAAAATTTACAACCCAGAAGTAAAGGAGGAGTCACCGATTTCCGTTGAAGTTGAGTTCGAGCAATCTTAGTTTTAAGCGAACGGTATTATGTATATTTGATACTCGCAAAATAAGTGAAGGACAGATAAGCTCATTTTGAAATATAAATTTTTCTAAAGTGATTCATGAATAATTCGAATAAAAAAGGAAATTTAAAGAAGATGTGGGTTTTTCTTGACTGTAAGAAGTATTGCATTTAGATCGAAAAATGATCGGCTTTATATGTGTATATGTATGCATCTCTATAGAAAAATAAATTAAAATCTAATGTGTATACTATGGTATACATAATAAACAACATACAACAGAATATTTGGCCCTAAAAATTTTGCTTAATGTTTCGCCGAGCTTCTCCTCTTGAGGTTGTTGAAGGGACTTGACATAAAGTTTTACCCCGACCCAGAATGGCAAATAATTTATATGAAAATATTTTCTATGGCAGAAATATATTCGGCGATTTGTATTTCCTGCCGAGGAGCGGCCACTTTTATAACTAAATTGTATTAAAAAAAAATCAAAAATTTATATATGTTGTTTATTCTAGGCGCATACTTTCTCACATTTTTATTTTTTTTTTAATTTTCATTATATCAAAAGAGGCGTTTATTCTTAAGAAAAACGTAGTACTAATTACGGCAAATGATAAAGTTATGTAATTTTTCAAATATGGACAGATTTGTTTTTTTTTTTCGACGTTTGGAAAGTGGGCGTGGTACCGCCCAGTTATGACCACATACATACATATGTGTATTACGGTAACCGTTCGATCAATGTGTACCAGACTCGCTATAATTATTGTACTTGACACAAAAATTACGCCCACTTTTCATATAACGACACATTTCAGAAATACGGAAACTTCGTTACTTAAAAATTTAAAGACGCCACAGCTGATACTAAAAAGAAACTTTAAAGACTACATACATAAGTTTATTTATCTCTTTAGGTCTAACTGGGCATCTTATAGAAAACGTTTCAAATAATGGTAAAACCACCCTGCTTTCATATAACGGCAGTTTTCTGAAAGGTGCAATACTATATTTAATACGTGCGCCGGGTGTTTTATATTCGATATCGCCGTTTTTAAATGAAGTTATATTTTTAGAATTGTAACTTTGAAGATGCGAACTCCATGAAGAAGTCTGATGAAAGGATGTTGTGATCTTCCAAGTAGCAACTATAACTTCTGTGTTTAAAATAAAATATAATTTTGATAATACCCAGAATGAATCAAAGCATATTTTCCTGTGGAATGCAGCATGTAGTTATCTTAGCCAGGGACCTTATTATGGAAAACGCCGGGTGTTACGCCAATCTTGCGCACTGAGTAAATCCATGTCACCATAAACTTCTGGCTGCCGCGGTTTTCCAACGTGCTATTGATTGCTTCTGTCGTGGTGTTGTTGAAATCGCTTCCAATATGCTGCCAATATTCTTTTTATTGAAGTAATCATTCAAGAGGGCACCGAATACTTCACCGAATGCGCTGTCGGTCCTTGCGGTAGGCGTGCAGTGATTTATCCATTGTGTGGATTACCTTCACTCATATATGATCCGTATATTTGAAAGTGGCATAAATCATTTCCACCTTTAATGTTTACATGACTGGTTACTTTAAACTGAATGCATCTGTAAATCGTTCCGCTTTTATAAAATAATAGCATAACTTGTTACCTTTGATTGATAAATTTGAATGAATAATAGTCGAGCGTATCGGAATGCAAAAATGTTGTTAAACTGTTGCGTGTTTGTTTTAGAAACACACAGTTGAGTAGTTCCGCTCAGCTCAGCGGTTGTGGATTCGACGCCATTTTTTTCATCATAAAATTATTTCGCTACGTGAACTCAACACTTTAAGCCAAAAATCATTTTTCCCTTCCGCCAGTTTTCATAGTAAATTCAAACAAAAAAATAACTTTTCTGTAAATTGCTGGTGAAACTGGCATTAATAAAATAAAATAGAGGTGTATACATACATATTTAAAATAAAAAAGGAACAGTCCAGCGCCTTCGTCTTGGTCTGCAGGCTGTATCGGAGATACAGCCACTATATTTAAACGTAGAATACGTGGTATGGTTATTGATAACAATATCAATAGAAAAATCGATAAAAATATTGGTAACAAAACCAATAAAAATATCGATAAAAATATCGACAACAAAATCGATCAAAATATCGGTAACAAAGTCGATTATAATATCGATAGCAAAAACGATAAAAATATCGATAACAAAACCGATAAAAATATCGATATCAAAATCGATAAAAATATCGATAACAAAATCGATAAATAATCTATAATAAAATCGATAACAAAATCGATTAAAGTGTCGATAACAAAATCGATAAAAATATCGATCATTATATCGATAAGAAACGGAAAATATCGATAGAAAAATAAATAACAAAATCGATCATTATATCGATAAGTTCCGAAAGTATCGATAACAAAATCGATAAAAATATCGATAACAAAACCGATGACAAAATCGATTAAAATGTCGATAACAAAATCGATAAAAATATCGATCATTATATCGATAAGTGAAAATATCGATAGCAAAATATATAACAAAATCGATCATTATATCGATAAGTTCTGAAAATATCGATAACAAAATCTATAAAAATATCGATAACAAAATCGTTAGAAAAATCGATAACAAAATCGATAAAAATATCGATAACAAAACCAATAAAAATATCGATAACAAAATCGATAAAAATATCGATAACAAAATCGATAATAAAGAGATAACAAAATCGATAAAAATATCGATCATTATATCGATAAGTTCCAAAAATATCGATAGCAAAATCAATAACAATATCGATAAAAATTTCGATAACAAAATCGATAAAAAAAACCAACAAAATATCGATTATATCGATAAGTCCCGAGAATCCCTAAAATCCCGAAATAGTTCCGAGATTGAGTCTCTGTGCCTTTATCTATATCCTTTTCTCTACAACTACCTTTATTTTAATCTTTCTTCCTCTATCTTCATCTATACTTTTATCGGTATCCTCATCCGCATCTTTTTCTTTATATTTATCTTTGGTTTTATACTATATATATATATATAACTTTGTTCACATAACGGTTGTTTGTAACAGGCAAAACGAATCGAGATAGATATAGACAAATGTATACATAAATGATCAGAATGAAAAGAGAAATTGATTAAGCGGTGACTGTCTGTCCGTCCGTCCGTCCGTCCGTCCGTCCGTCCGTCCGTCCGTCTGTGCACACGATAACTCGAGTAAAAATTGAGATATCTCAACGAAACTTGGTACGTGAACTTCTTTTGGGCGTGGGACGGACGGTATTGAAAATGGGCGAAATCGGATAATAACCACGCCTACCTCCCATATAACGGTAATTTTAAGAAATACGAAAACTGCGATATTTTAGTAACTACTGAAGATAATTCACTCAAAATTGATACTTACAATGAGTTTCAGACGGAAAACATGAATATTATAAATTTTTGGAAAATGGGCGTAGCCACGCCCACTTATGGTTACATGTGTATATCTTGGTAACCGCTGCACCAATTTCTTC